GTGGGATCATAGGAGAGAATCGATGGGAGGTCTTGATGTAGAAGCAGCAGAAGCAACTTCATCTTCTTCAGATGATCCATACAACAAAGTTTTCACTTCTCCAATAATAAGTTGCGTAAGCAACAATCCAGAGATCAAAGCAGCAATCATCAACATATAAAACACAGCATCCCAACTAATCGCCGCGATATAACCCGTTAGAACTGGTCCAATGGCTGCACCAACTGATCCTGTTCCATCTATAATTGCAGTGACTGTAGCCAAAGCCCTAGCATTTCCTTTAAGTGATTTATGAGTACCAAGATCAGCTGCAACCGCGGTTGTGATGAGCGCGTAAGGTCCATTAACGAATACTCCAGCTATAAACATGAGTATGATATTGATTGTCATGGAGACATGACCGTAGACTCTGTATAGGAACAGAGCTGGGATTGTCAAGTAGATGAATCCTCCGGCTGTGATTGCTCTACCGTCGAGCTGATCAGAGAAATATCCGGCTAAGATTCCTCCAACAACGCCTCCTACATCGAAGAGCGTCGATAAGTTTCCCGATGTCTCTTGTGACAAATGCTCTCCTCCTATCTCAGTTTGGCTTACATAGAAAGGAAGCCAATAGAGGAAAGTGTAAGAGACCAATTTGGTGAAGAAGAGACAAAAGGCGAAAGGAGCAACACCGGGGATTTTCCAAGCTGCTAAGAATCCAACAGCTCTTCTATCGAATCCGGTACTCATCCTAGAGCTCAAGAAACTCTCTGTCATGGTGTCACCGAGTCTCATTGTCGAATCAACTTCACTTCCATCTCTCTCAGCTTCAACAGCAGGAGGGTTCACAGGCAAGAAAAGGTAAACCACAATGCCAAGAAACGTAATGAGCAAAGCCGGACCAACAAAAGACCATCCCCAACCGAATTTCAAAAGTCCGGTCGCGATTAAAGAACCAATGATGTTCCCTATTGATGTATGAGCACTCCAAACACCCATGATTACACCTCTCCTCTTCTTATCAAACCAATTCCCCAAAACCGCTACCACGCAAGGCCATCCGATAGACTGAAACCATCCTGCCAATGTTTGGATGGCTAGGAAATAGTAGAAACTATGTATATTTGCCCAAAAAGCGAACCCAAACATAGCGGTGAAAACTCCTGTCCCGATCATACCGATTGTCAGAAACGTCCTGAGGTCCAAACGATCACCCAAATGACCCGCGACAAACATTCCAACCGCGTAAACAGAGAGGAAAGCCAAATCTATTTGACCAAGCAAAGCTGTTCCATCCGGACCATCGAAAGGAGCCCATCCGCCTTCTTCCGAGGCCTTAAAATGTCCAGTTGATGGCTTAGAAAGCGTTCCTTTGACGATACTGTTAGGCTTTCGAGTTGCGTGGAAGGCGATATAGGCGATGAAGGTCAAGACAAAGACCATTGCTTGATATTGCTTGAAAGAGAGTTTCCCTGAACGTTTAAAACGTTCTAGGAAATGAATACCTGGTGGTTTTATTTCGACATAGAGGAATTCAGATGAAGTCCAAGACGCCATGCTCTTGTAGCTTCTCTTCGAGTAACCAAAACCTGAAAAAGAGACAACACAAGAATCAGTCCAAGAACTTAAAAAGCAATCCTAACCATGAGCTAGATTCCTTCTTTATCATATCTTACAAGCACCAAAAAGAGTAAATTTTCTTAGAAATTAACCTTTGTGATTTGAAGAGAAGAGAAAAAATCTCTCTAATGCTTTGAAAATCATGGAAGGACAAAATCACTATTTAAAAGTTAACGAACGTGAGAATAACTAAGTTAAATTACTTGATCATCTTAGCCATTTTTGTTGTATTTTATTTGTTTGACTTTTGGCTCATATGCTTCGCTTTACTATCCTCCCACTTTTTCTAGTTTAAACTTCACAACATGTAAGCACATACGGTTAAACCAGAACTAACCAATTCAAACAACTCATATTTTTTTTTTATCAGAAAGAAGTAACTACATATATATAAACCAACTAAATATGCAAATTCATTACTCTAAAAGGGAGCAAAGGGAATCATAGATTGAAGAAATGTTCTTAATTTATAATCTTTGAAAGACAATTTTTTATTCTATTCTAGAATTTTAAATTGTATTTGGTTTTCTTGTGACTAAGATTTATATACCAACTCAGCCTTATGAATGATTCAAAACATGGAAATATTAGTGTATTTGACTATTGAGATTAGCATATACCTCATGCTGTGTGTATCTATCACGTGAGCTGCATTTTTGCTGTTAACTATGACCATACCAAAGATTATGAGAGCAACATAATATATTATATCATTATACTAATATTTATAATTTTGTTGTGTTTTTTCTCGAGTTAGAGATATATCATACCTCCCTTTCGTTTTTTCTTTGCCTTGGAAATAGACAGATTTTATATCACCCTTCAATTCGAATTAGCA